ACGTAAGAGCCGCGCGCGCCGTACGCAGCGGCCGTGTCCCTGTGTGCCGCGCGCGTTATTTATGCGGCCGTGTGTGCGTGTTCCTCCTCCCACTGGCTGTTGTAAGCCAGACAGTGAGCATAAACCAGGTTGTCCTCCTCGCTTCCAGGCCGGCTGTCTCCGTCCCGCTCGGCCCGGAATGGTCGGCAGTTCGGGTATTAATCGGACACGCAAGCCTCGAATCACCAGCGGAATACAGTCGAGATAAATCGACCGGACTCTTGCAAATAAAATTACCATATGTGTATATATATATATATATATATATATATATTTATATATGTAGACCCAGTTGCATCATGCTGCTGTTGCCTCCAGAGGAGATCGAACACGGAGAGACCGCGTTCCAAATTCACGCTTTTGTCCTCGAGATACGGCAGCCTACTCGCGAATCCTACCAGACGCCTGGGCCCACGCTGCTCCTCCTATCAATGACTCAAGCTTAGAACGCTTGATAGAGAAGACGTTCCACTTCCGATAAATTATCTCCCGTTGAGAATGCAAATCGCAGTCTAGTCCCACTGCTACTAAGCATTCTACGTATCCTTGACAAAATATGTTCGTTAACCACCTGTAAAAAATAGAAATAGAACAGTTGAATTAAAGCTTTGTACGCTTCATCCGTTTGCTATTTTGATAGATGTTTCTTATTATGTTTGAGGAAATACTGCTTTGTTTTTGCCAGAGCGTTTTGAAAGAATCGTACCGTCGACGACATCGAAGGGAGCAATGAAACGCGATCTAGAAACACAAGTTCCCCTTGCCAGACTCGTCTAATAATGTAGCACCGACGTTGCTGCAAATCATGCTTGCCAGGCGTGCATATCTGCGTACACAAACAGAGACACGCTCAAGGTTTTCATGAAACGTTCGTTCATACCGCGGCTCACCTGATCCATTGACAAAGCAACCACAGTTGCCAAGCCGTCGTTATCATTACGCGCGCGACTGATCAGTACCAGGAAAAATTGGCATTTTTTTCTTTAGAAGTTGTAATCGAGATGTCAGAAGGTGTAACTCGTTCGCGGCATTGTTAGCGATTTTTTAATAATACAGATAAGCGCGGATCGCGGGTGTGGCGACGTGAATCGCGTGCACCAGTTCCCTCGGGAGGATATCCGGTGTGGAAACGCTTCGTCCTACCTCTCCCTTCCCGTTTCTGACGCTCGAATCCCCACTTACGTTCGATGATCACCTTTCCTATCACGCTAATGCCACTAATACCATGTTACATGAATCAATAAGAATCGCCATGCGAAAAAACTATCTTCTCGCTTCATTAATACGAATTCTACTGAATGAATACATCCTTGTACGCGTCGCTTTTTAATCAATAGACAATATATATATATATATATATGAATCTTTGGCTAATTTATTTCTGTTATCCTCTGTCGCGTTAAAAATGCAGTTCTTGTGCCAGGTTTTGTATGTGAATCGGATTGAGTATCGAGCGAGCGACGAAAGCGTTTTCGCGTTGCAGTGGACGAAGCGTTTTCTGCGCCATCAGTTTCAACGGTTGCAAGGGTTAATTGTCTAATTAAGTAAGTCGTTGCGCTGATGGTGCGACGTGAAACGAGTAGCACGCTCGAAAACGATCACGGCGAAAGTTATCCTCGTTTTCGCTATTTCGTCCGCTTCCTTAACGTTCTCAATGCCCTACATTGTTTAACACATCAATTCTTAACCCTTCCTACTGGATCTCATTTAATACACAATTAAAATTTCAATAAAAACTAGTAGGAAATTCATGAATTTGGAATTTCATTCAATATTAAAATCTATAAATAAAAATTCACAACTTCTATGAAGTTTTTTGAAGCTGTTCCATTTTGAGCAGAGGAACAAAAACGTTTCTTGACTTTTTTCATTGCATCGGTTAACGCCTCTGTGAATTAGCTGCTAAGCGAGAAATTGAAAATGACGACACGTTTGAAGACTAAATTAAGAATTAACATCTGTTTCCGATGAACGTTTCTATTTTCCCGATATCTCGATATTCTCGTCGCTTTCGTTGTTATGACAGAAGTGTATCATACGAGATAGAAAGTAGGATAGAGAGTAGCTACTACCGCGGTTGCAGACAATTAATTAACAAGAAAGCATTTCCAGCACACCCATATTTAGTGCCCACGTACAATTTCTACTGAACGAACCGTTTCACACTGAAATTCATTAACCAGATCACGAATTATATTCTAGAATGTAATGAAGTCGTTTCATTTAACGTTCGGTAGAACTTTCTTAATTTTCAAACGTAAAATCTTCTGTAAATCGTATCAAAATAAAGACAATACGTCGTTTACAGACAGCAAACATCAAAGCAAGATACAAACCGTGGCGTTCTTATAAAGAATGAAAATATTTAATTACTTAAACTTAATTGTGAAATATCGAAACTACATAATTGCAAGACTATTTCCAAGCTTCATCTCTTCTCGCGATGTCGTTTGCACACAGCGAAGATCATAAGATACAAAACGTGACACGAGCGTCTTGTGCCTAAATGGGCTGAATAATGACGAGCCAGGCTGAGAAACACTGGTTTAGCCTATATTTAAACGGCGACGGCCGCGTATCTTAAGCGCGTTCATTAATGCACTTTAAGCGTGTACGCCCGTTTAACCTTACGCCTGTTTACAGTTCCTCTCTCGCCTGGGCGATTTGTAACCTACGACATGTGTAGTACTTGCTAACTGAGACACACTTCTGCCTCTCCTCCGCGCGTATTCTAGCTGACCTTGATCCAACTGAAAGAATCCCGCTATTCAAGCCAACGAGGTAATTACAATTTTTCCTCGTCTTGCAAAATATATTCCCCACATCTCGTGTAAACTCACGAGTTATTGCGGAATCTGATTAAAAAGATTCGATACAAAATTTATCAACTATGTTAAATCGTTTAAACATTTTGTAACAATAGCTTGTTGTAGGATTTAAATTATGTTGAATATGTATGCACGTACGTCTATGAAACTGCGGAAAATGGATGTAATAATGTAACGAGTCGAACGAATATTGCTAATGTCTGCAGCAAAGTTAGATCAGAGTGTCACGCGAGGAAAAGCGAAGCGGAAAGAACCCGGAGTGAAAGGCACGAGGAGGGAGAGGCGGGAGACGGGGGGGACGGGGTAGGTTAGGCAGGGGGACGAGTAAGAATAACGATAACGATACGACGCCGTCGTTTATTCGGGCGCACGCAATTATCTACGCGATCTTTCGTGACCTAAGCCACGGATGAGTACTCGCACGAGCCAACAGACCAAACTGAATGAGGATGACTATGTAACGTTGACATTTGCTGAATGACTTTATAAATATGGATATCGAATGTCGCCGTAGCGAGTTAGACCTTGGCTTGAAAAATGCGAGATGAAAAGAGACGTCGACGACTTGAATAATTTATTGTCAACATTTGATTTAATGAAATGCACAGCGTAAACGTCACAGACTGTGAATTTCTAAAAGATCTCTTTCTCTCTCTCTCTCTCTCTCTCTCTCACGCTTTCAAAATAACAATGTGCGTTTCGTTGTTTTCTTTTCTTGTACCTTTGCACATGCAACTCTTTTATATTTTCTCACTCCAATTTCCCGGAATCTCGAGCTGGCGCCTCGATGCGGGCTGCAGCTTACCGCGGGCACACGTTTTTCTACGAAACTATCGATAGTTACCAGAGCCTACGTGCACGTTTGCGAGGTCATCATTCCCATCGCTGAACGCACACGCGGCCACGTGTGTTGCGTATAAACGCACGAGGACAACCTGCAGATGCATGAATGACTTGAAATGACGTGTGTTCATTGAGCGCCGCTTGCCGTGCCGACTTGCCGCTCTCGGTTGCTCCCAGCAAGGACACGACATATTTTCTAGCTCGCGTAGGAAAAGATTCGAACCGACCGCCTATCATTTTTTAATCGTATAAACCGACTGAGAACGACAAGGAAGATCGCAGAAAATACAGGCGAATCACTTGTATGAGAATCGTTTGGTAATTTAACGAACGTGTGTCGTTTGATTAGTGTTCGGAGTCTAGCGAGTTATCAGCGTTTCTGACTCGCGAGAAGCTCGTTTCTGTGCTTTCGACGGCTATAATAGGCGGTATCGATGACTCGAGAGGGCAATGGTAACGTTAGGAACCGAGAGGAGGGTACGTCGAGGTGGCAAGCCAGGGAGAGGGAAAGGAAATGAGCCACGCACACTTACGCTCGCTCGTGTACGGAGACTCGGTTGTCTGCAAACCAATTAAACGACTTACATAAGTTTCAGTTGGAAGAAGAGAATCGAAGACACGTGGATTCGATGAGGGAAGAGAGGCTGCTGCACTCGGCCACGGAAAGAGAGGAGAATGGCGTCGTTGAATCGACGATAGGGTGGCGGGCTGGAACGGAAGAAAAGAAGGAACACGAGTGCATTGCGCCCCGGATGCGTTTCCTGTTGCTCGCGCGAAACGATGATAGCCTCGTTTCGACGAGCTCCTTTGCTAATTATCTATCAAATTTAACAATCCAACCAAAAGGAAGCGGAACTGTTACGCACTTACCATTAAAAAGTAAATGAGACATAGAATCCCCGCGCGGAATTTTAACTAGTCTCGATTCGGCTCGATCCGGTTCCTCGCCTCGACTTCCGGTATTTAATCACCTTTCCTTCAAACTTCACGCGAACAAACAGCACGGGTTCTTGTCTGATTGATGGCATCGATCGGACGATAACGATTCCTTTCCGATCTCGGCAGGTCGACGCGACGTCGTACGGAACGTCGATAAAAAAAATATTCAGCCACTTATTTATTCGTAACTTCGTCCGGTAGCCAGCTGCGGTGTCATTAAATAGAATAGGCCGATCGTATCCGCAGCGAGTTTCTTCTACGGAGCCTCCTGACACCGGAGAGGCGAAAACAAAAACAGGAAGAAGGTTACACTGATACACTTGAGTGCAGTCATCGTCTGTTCGATCGATCTTTCCTTGTGAAACTCGTAGTCTTTATTTTTGTCGCGATAATTCGCTCGATTATCTTATACAAAGTGAGTACATATACAAAACACGTAAGGCTCACGTATATATCATCATTTCCTTTTTTTCTTTCTCCTCTTCTTCTAATGGAATAGCATTCTAACATTTTGTTCCTGTCTCATTCTTTCTCGCTCTCTCAGTCAGTCATTCATTCCCTGTCCTCGTTCTGTCCACGTATCTACATTCTCTCTCTCTCTCTCTCTCTCTCTCTCTCTCTGTCTAATCCTTCTCTTCCTCGCACGTGCGTTCTCGAACGACGAAACACCGTCGGAAATCGTATGCGAGGCACACGCTTCTGCTTCCATGAATCGATTGAGTCGGGTGCCGACACAGAGACGAGTTTTGCCACTCGTGACAAAATTCGTCGTACTTGCCACATCCCCTAGCATCAATTACCATTTTACAGAACTCCGGACACGAAAGATTTCACAGACTTCTGGATTAAATTGATATTGCACGTTCCCTCGACACGTTGTGTCACAAAAATTTCAAAAATATATTACCGTCGTATATGCCTATATATGTATACATATATATATATACATATATGTATATATATATTTCGTCTTGGTAAAGGAATAAAATAGTATAATTCGCGATGATCACCTTACTTTTTACGTGGACGTCATGGAAAAGTATGATGTACAAGAATGTATAAATTAAAATGAAGTTCGTTGACGAAACGATTGAGCTAGCAACAAGCCCGAAAAAGACACGGTTGTCGCGGGAGCGGATAAACCGGGTCGCGTGACGTAACGTCGATCGCAAAAACGGATCGAATCGGTCGCACTTCGACGCGGGAAGAGGAGAAAGAGAGAAGACGGAAGTCCCTTTTCGTTCGAACAGCTACCGCCTTGTTCGGCTCGCGCGCGACCGAGTACACGAGGTAGATAGTATCGGACGAAACTCGTTCGCTTCTTTCCATTCTCGTTCGGGTTTTAAGATGCCCGGGAACTAGGAAACGTCAAAGACATCCACATACCTAAATATATATATATATAATATATTTGTGTATATGCGTGTTTTTCGTTGGCTCGTATTCTTTTTCGCCCGATGCCTTTGAGCAGGGACAACGCGCGTCCCGTTTCGTGGTAAAATTGTCCTTCCTCTTCTTTCTACTCCCCAACATTTAGGACAGTTTAGTTTGTTGGTTCCTAGATAGAAAGCACTATACACAATCATCTACGTTCCCGTTTCGTTACACGGTTACTCGTTTGTTCCATTCGTTCAGTCGTTCGGAGGTAATACGTTTTCTAATTTCGAAAATATTTCCAACGCACGCGGGACTCTCTGGGTTCTTGTTATCCGCGAACTATCTCTCGACACGCTATCGACGATGCCATAGCGAAATCTAGTTTGCTTCCGGCGTGGCTCCTCTGGCCTGGTTTGCTAACGATAAGACACGGTTACGCTAACGACATTCAACTGTACACGTTAATTAAACGATTCGGCTATTCGATATTTCTGCGTGTTCGCCAAGGTGTGCGAAGTTAAGTACTGGCTCAAGCATTTATCTCCGATGACATTAATAAAAATAATCTTCGACGCTAACTTTTGATTTCATGTCTGGAACTGTACACGGTTTGAAGGAAATGTCGTGGTATTTGAAACGAGTAAATCCACTCTGTCGATCGTCCGGAATAAATTCGAAACGAAACGAACGGATCCGGTTTTATTTTCGATAAGGAATTATCGTATGTGTGTGTGTGTGTGTTTGCGCGCGCGGAAGAGATCCGGGGAAGCGTTTCGAGGGATCACAGGATGAAGCAAGGCGTGCGCTGATTATTACTTGCGTATATCAAAGACAACGACAGAGAGACCGATAACTTCGACGTGTATATTACAAATGATGGGAACGGTCGACAATGATCGGTGGTAACGAATCCGGAGTGCTTCGATTCGTGTCTGCCGATCGCGACCCTCGTGTCCTCGGTGTTTGTCAGCCGGTAGAGCCGTCGATGGATCTTCAACGTTCCCGCCAGATTCAGCAAATCCTATAGTATCTGGAAGAGCCTCTTCAATTCAACCATCAACTGCCAGTCAGTCTTCACCAAGTCGTCCCTGAAGTATTCCTTGCATGCATCAATACTTTGCCTGCTTATCTGTAACACGCGAAACCAACAATTCTTTATAGATTTCAATCGTAACGAAACAATGAATATTAAGAATACGTAGGCTTTCATCACTTTTGGCCTACAACTGACAATGAGATAAATTAAAAAATTCTTACATGTATCGACGCGTTCAACTTTTTATGCTTTCACCAATTTTTATGAAACCTTAACTTAATTTTAAAATGAGATGTTTCAGACGTATATTTGAGACCCCAATAAAAAAAGTTAAAGAAAACCAACGTTCGCTTTTTCCTTTACAATTTCGACCAATAAAAATTGTTAACAAATTTTTTTACATAGTAAATTAAGTGTCGTCTTTAAAGCAGTTAATCTGTTTTAAGATGTGTTTAAATAGTTTTATGAGCCACTGTATATACTTGTATAGCTGCATTATGTGCTCCGGTCAGTAAATAAAAAGAATACATTTCCTGCCCCTCGCAGTAGTAGTGGCAGCAGCAGCATTCTACGATGCAGCCGTGTAATAATAAGAAGGAAGCAGGGAAATTGTCAACGTGCCAGATCGACGTTCGAAAGACCGTTTTTAATCGTCCTTCTAGGTCTAGGAATAATTTCCTTGAATCGGTTTTCGCGAGGACGGGCACATGCTCGCGCACACGGTCCCCATTCACTAACGTAACGCTTTACAACTGTTTCCGCCCCCACTCCCGGCCGGAAGTCCCGTTTCATTCATGGATCGGTCATAATGGTGGTTTTACGCGGCTATTGAGGACGCCTGCCTGCCTCCCGCCACGCCCCTCCTACTTCTCCCTCCGTCTCCCTCACCTCCCTTCCCCTTCCTCGCTCCCTCTCGCTCGTTCCACCGGTCCTCTCTCTCCCACGCACGCTGCACGCATACACACGTAATATAATTCTTTGCCTGGCCTCCTCTCTCTCTCTCTCTCTCTCTCCCGCACCTTCCCCTCCGCTCCTATCTGCGTAACGTTGCACGATCAGCAAAGGGTCCTACGCTCTGCGAAACCTTCGCAAACGTTTTTTTCACCCGATCGATCCTGAGTTCGATTATACTTGAAACACGTGACGAGCGACGATCTTATTTTAAGAGCATCGTTGCACATTCCCAGTGAAATTTTAATTCGGATTTCCTAATCAACCTAAATTAGACGATATTGAACTTGGACGAATACACGCCGGTATTCTTGAAACAAGAGAAAAAAAAAAAAAAGAGGAAACGAGGGTGGCGCGAAATTGTCGCTCCACAGATCATCGTGGGAACAAAGTGATTCCGGGGAATCGATTCTACGAAGCAAACGGTAACAACGACTTCCGCTCGCCTTGGGAGCACACAAAGATGCCGAACCCAGAACGGGCTGCGCCTGTGCACGCATTCAACCGCTTGTAAGACTGTTTTAGTGCGCGTAAGCAACCGGAAAGCGCGGACGGAGTTTAGAGTTTAGTTTAGAGAACGGTTGACGTCAATCGTCCGCGAAATTCGTCCAATCCAGCGTCACCGATTTCCAAACGCTTCTACCAATTGAAATATGCACGATTGTTGTACGAAAAGACGTTACGCGCGATTTTCTAGCATCTCTCATAATGAATCTTTTATAATTGGTTCCATTACGGTGTATGTATCTCTATACGTGATCGATTCGTAGTCGATATCCAAAGAAGAAGACGGAAAAGAAAGAGAGGTCGCGGTGAGAGAGCAGCAAGGAAAAGGAACGGAGGTTCTGCGAAGGGCGGAAGTCGACGGTGGACGCCTGATCGCTGCCGGATGTGCATCTTCCTTTTTCGACCGGAGCCTCGCATACTAATAGGGATCGTTTCCGTCCTGCTGGCGTCCGATTTTGATGAAATTGCGAAGCTACGCCACAGTGGTGAACAAAAACAAGCGTATCTTCATAACTTTTACAATTAGAACATGAGATATAGGACTATGAACGAACCCAGACAGTCTCTGATACTCAGATTGTTCGACAGAGAAGCACTTATGAAGGAGTGCACAACAGACCACCTGTTGATTGCATTTCTTCGAAACAGCTGCTTATTCAAAACTTGAAACATTCTCTACCAGCCCTATTCTTTACTTTATGTCAAAGCGATTGAACTTAATGAAAGATCTCTCTAACATTAATCAGTTTTTGTCATTAGACAGGAAATATGTGACTTACGAAGGAGTAGTTTATCAACAGGCCACCTGTTGATTGTATTTCTTCTAAACATTTCCTTCTTGAAAACTTGATCCTCCACTATCATTTATCTTATTCTTTATTTTCTCTCAGACATTCAACTTAATAAAAAATGTTATAAGAGCGTGAATGAAGTACGACAGTCTCTGATAAAACATTTGTTAGAATTTCTTTGTAAACAGTAACTAAAAGACTTATGAAGAAATATCTTATCAACAGGCCAGCTGCTGATTGCATTTTCTCGTAACAGCTGCTCTTTGAAAACTATTTTAGACGAGCATTTACTCTATTCTTTACTTTCTACCAAAGCCATTGAACTTAATAAGAGAGAGGGACTCACTTTGCTGACGATGGGATCGTCGTGGTCGAAGTGACGGCCGAACATTTTAGGCGCCTCACCGGGTACCGGCTCAATTTTCACGCAGACTTCCTGACCTTTTCTCGCAGATTCGACGGGCTTGTGATTGTATTCTATGCTCGTT